GTTCATTTTTAGTTTGTTTGAATTTTCCCTCTTTTCCTCGCTTTCCTTCGGTTTTAAATAGCTTAAAAGCACCGTGCGCATTTTACTCGAATTAGCGGCAATTCGGCGTCAATTGCTTGAATGCAACAACAAAATACAACAACTTGCATAAGGTTTAAATAGGTAGCCTATATTCCTCACTGGAGAAATGAAATCTGATCTGTGATGCTACTGTCGTTCGGCACGCTGCATTGAGCAGCCGCGTTCAGTTTGTAATTGTAGTGTCTGTTCTTTTACTGAACTATATGATTTTTAATACTATAAAAAAATCAAAACGATGGTGGAGGTCAGTGCTGCGGTGGGCAAGTGACGTAACCGGTGTTGTGGCTTAACACCGGTATCACCGTCAGCACCGTCTATCGCGGCAAGCCTACACCACATGCCAAAATATAACGACCTGCACGTGCCTACTTTATTAACTCCATAAACTGGATCACTTTATAAGCTTAGCCCAAACAACAATCCCAAAGATGCTTAAAAAGCATCGCTTATAATAAGTGGACATGGCAACCCTTCAAGATTGTGCTCTGTGGAAGCAGCTTTTCAAACATAAACAAAACACGATGGCTCTGCTGACAGTGGTTTAGTCAAAATCATGTTCATAACAAGTCATTGGTTGCTGCAATATTACTTTAGTTAAAATTTTAATTTAAAAAATGAAAGTGTAAAAAAACGTTACGTAAGTTTATTGTAGAGAAAATATGCTGTACAATTATTTTATATATAAAAGAAATATTTTACAAAAAATGTTTGAATCCTAAATTGCTATAAAATCAAAGACATATGTCCAAATAAATTATGTTTCAAATTTGAAGTTGATATTACAAAAATTGAGGTTCCTGAGATTTTGTTTAGCCGTTATACCAAAAATATCCACCAGGTTGACACCCAAACGTGAAAAAAGTATTTTCCTGTCACAAATTAGTAAGTTTCTCACATTATTATGCCTGTCACAAAATAACCTCAAAATATTGAAACTTGAGACTCAGACCTTTTCCAACAATGTGTTTTGTCAAGATTAGAACAAAATCTTGATTAAAATTTTTCTGTAAAATGACACTTGACACAGCCCACTAGAGGGAGGAGCATACTAAAAAGATTTAAAGAACCATTTCCATGGTAATGCAAAATAGTTTTCAAAGGATGAATTTTGTTAGGATTGGACCATATTTGGCCGAGATACAACTATTTGAAAATCTGGAATCTGAGGGTGCAAAAAAATCTAAATATTGAGAAAATCGCCTTTAAAGTTGTCCAAATGAAGTCCTCAGCAATGCATATTACTAATCAAAAATGAAGTTTTGATATATTTACGGTAGGAAATTTACAAAATATCTTCATGGAACATGATCTTTACTTAATATCCTAATGATTTTTGGCATAAAAGAAAAATCTATAATTTTGACCCATACAATGTATTGTTGGCTATTGCTACAAATATACCTGTGCAACTTAAGACTGGTTTTGTGGTCCAGGGTCACATATGTGATAGGGAAAAAAGGCAATAAAAATAGCACCAGTTAACTGACAATTACATCTGAAACTTTACAACAGAAAATAAGTCAACACTGGATAGAAATCTGTTTTGGTCAAGTTTTATCATATAAACGTAATAGATTTTTTTTGTCATTTCTGTAGCCTGACTTTGGGAATGTTTGTTTCCAGGCCTCTCGGCAGCAGCAGGGATTGGTGTGGATGATCTCCGGAGGCTGTGCATCCTGCGCCTGAGCTTCGTGAAGGGCTGGGGTCCTGACTATCCGCGGCAGAGCATCAAGCACACCCCCTGCTGGGTGGAGGTGCATTTGCACCGGGCGCTGCAGCTGCTAGACGAGGTGCTGCACACTATGCCACTGGCAGACCCTGGACCGGCTAACTGAGAGCGAACAATACACAGCAAACACTCACCACCACACAGATACTGGACGCACTACAGTAAGCGTGCGAAGAGCATTACCTGCTACAGTGTGCTTTGCACTTTTATCAGTCATTAGAATACCAATGAAAACACCACAGAAATTCACTATTCTAAAATTCATGTTTTGGAAAGATATTTCAGTGCATTTTCTTGTTCTATAGTGAAATGTTGCATTTCTTTTCGGGTTAATCTCACAAAAACATGTCTAGGTCATATTTCGCTCTAATATAAAAAATTATATTTGCTTAAAGACAATGAAGACTATTTTTAGGAATTTTTTTTTTTTTTGCATTATGACTAGGGCTGCAAAGGGGAGGAAAATTTCTGGAAACTTCCCAAAAATTCTAGAAAGTTTCTGGAAATTTACCAGACATTTTCTGCCCCTTTGCAGCCCTAATTATGACATTATTTTTAATTAATTAAGCACATTTTCCTGCCAAATTCTGAATCATTCCTGCCAAAATAACTGAAATGTTTCCAGATGTTTTGAGGTTGTTTGTTTGCAATGGTGATATACAGATTACTGTATATTTTTGATTTAAAACAATGATTTGTTGTATTAAATTCAACATGAATTAAGGGAGGTCCAACAAATATAATTACAATTACAGTTATACAAATATAATAATTAATATTTGTACATTAATCGTAGTATTTTTTGAAAAGTCAGGTTGTATTCTCATTAAATATTTAAAAGAACAATTATGCTATATATATATATTTATATAAGAATAATAATGAATAATAAAGAATAAAAAAATAAAAGAATAATAATGTTAGATATATTATATCATGATCATTTTTAAAATATTATTTCAATGAGAATTGGGGGAAATATGATTGATTATCATGAAAATAATTCTGTAAAAAAAATCCTTTTTTTTTTGCATTTTCTTTATACAGAATATCATTTTCTATTTCTTTCTCGTTTTTATGGTGAAATATGACCTTGACATGTTCTTGATGGGATTTGTGAGACTCATCCGTTCAAATTAGATGTATATACCTTAGCGCTATAGGTCTACTAATGAATGCAAGTTTACACAGGGTTGATTGCAGATTAAGTTCAGGGAAATAGATTTATTGTTCATATGCCTTTCTAGCTTTGCACATCATGCAGTTATACTAAGAATTTTAGAGTCTAATAGTTTTGCAATACTGGTAGAAAAAGCTTAAAATCTGTCCTTGCAAGAATTGAATTTATGGGTCAGTGTCTGAACAATGAACATAAAACAAAAGATAAGAATAACTCCCGCTTTTGCAGTGGCCTTGGTTCCAGAAGTATTTTTCCATTCATTCACTCCATGAGCGTTCTGAGCTACAAGATGAACATTACAAAGCATTTTGAATTTAAATGAGTTTGTATACTATACAATAAGTTTATTGCAAAATATTTGTTCAAATATTGGGTCGTGAGATTGACTCGAATCTCTGTGGAGAAAATGAATGGTATTTTTACTTTTGTAGCTATACGGTTGTGCTCTATTACACTCTGGTATCACACATTCACACAACACGGTCCAAGACGACAGAAGTGAGGAAGAGACTTTCTGACCTCCAATCAAGTTTTTTGCATAAACTCAGAATATCTTGAGATCCACGGGTTTGGTAGCACTAAATGCCTCAGAGCAAATCGCTATATTGGCACTGGTCACTTCACAAAGCGTTGGATAGGACCAGCTGATGTAGATGCAAACCTGCCTCTGAGAGACAAACTGAACCAGACAGATAACAGGACAAACCGTCAAAACAAAACGCTCATCATCTCTGTGCTTGTGCTGTGCTCCTCTACATGTGGACCTCAACTCAGCTTATTAGTTAGACTTGCAATAGCCTTCCAGCTCCTTTATTTTCATGCCAAAAAAAGAAGAAAAAAATTGTTCAGCTTTACAATGGTGGTATTAGTATCGTGACGCAGTTCGGTGTTTGTAACCAAATCATTTGCCATGTGGTGTAAGTCACCAAAGCCAGATTACCTCATGATAATCAAGCATGAACCCAGTGGATTTTTCTTTATGCCAAAATGTGTCTGGAATCTTCTACTTTCTGGACGTCATGCTCACCTCATAGTTTAACCAAATCAAAACAGGGCGTGTCTTGAACCGAATGTAGAGCCTTGATGCACCGACTGACCGATTTCAAACAACGGGTTTTTGCCAACACCAGTAACTCAGCTTTAGCTTTTATCTCCTCGAGAAACTCATGTCTGGATTGTGACCAAAATTCAGCCCTATACCACTATAACCTTTTGCAAACGGGTAGAACATCTAAACTTCAAACTTCGAGCAATGAACATTAGTTTTGCTGCCTTCCCAAATTGAAATGTCTATATTTTACTGTACACTTACTGTACACAAAGACCCTCCATTTTGGTTTATTTAAGATGTACGTCCAGTACAAATGCAAATATTTAGTAACTGAAAATTTAATAGTAAAAGTGGAACCTCATTATAGAATGTTAAAGTCAACATGAAATCAAGATTCATCCTGTTTACTTTCTAAACACGTGTTCCTGATCTTATCTTATTGACAATACAGGAATAAATTAAATTTTCAAATATATTTCAATAGAAAACACTTATTTTAGATTATAAAAATATTTCATTATTATTTTTGTTTTTACAGAGCCCCAAGAGACATGGGAATGGAAGAAAATATGAGATGGGAGGAAAAATGATATTTAGTAAAATGATAAAAATTGTGTTTTAATTTTATATTATAGTATTGCATTCCACCAAGAAATCGTCTCTCACAAATTTGCGATCTCTCGCAAACATTTGTGATCTTGTAAAATATTTGCGATCTCTTGCACAACATTTGCCATCTCTTGGAAAATATTTGCGCTTTTGTAAAAAAAAAAGGCGATTTCTGACAAAAATTTGCAAACATTTTGCGAGGTCATTTGCGAGGTCACACAACATATGCTGTCTCTTGTAAAACGTGCAATCTTTTGTAAAAAATCTTTTGTAAAAAAAAAAGGCGATTTCTGACAAAAATTTGCAAACATTTTGCGAGGTCATTTGCGAGGTCACACAACATATGCTGTCTCTTGTAAAACGTGCAATCTCTCACAAAATATTTGCGATCTCTCATAAAACAATTGTAGTTTCTCGCAAAAATGTGCGTTCTTGTAAATCATTTGCGATATTGCACAATATTTGCCATCTCTCGCAAAATATTTGAAAATTTGTAAAATATTTGCGATCTCTTGTAAAAAATAAATAAATTGTGATTTCTTGCAAAAAATCTTAAATTTCGTAAAACATTTGCGAGGTCACACAACATTTGCCGTCCCTCGTAAAACGTGAAATCTCTCACAAAACAATTGTGATCTCTCGTAAAACACGCAATCTCTCGCAAAATATTTGCGATTTCTTGCAAACATTTGCCATCTCTTGGAAAATATTTGTGATTCTCTTGAAAAAAAAAAAGTGATTTCTTGCAAATAAAAAATTTAGATTTCTCACAAAAATTTGCAATGTCGCACAATATTCGCCGTGTCTTGTAAATCGTGCAATCTCTAGCTAAATATTTGTGATCTTGTAAAACATTTGTGATCTCTCCTAAACACTTGCGATCTTATAGAACATTTGCGATCTCTCGCACAACATTTGCACATCTCATAAAATATTTGCAATGGCTCATAAAGCAATTTTTGTTCTCTCACAAAAGTATTGTGTTCCACTGAGAAACTTTGCATTCTTGGGCAAAAAAAAAAGCTTTCATCACTTGCAAAACATTTGCAGCAATTTAGCGAGAGAATGCAAAAGCAATAAAATAAATGTTTTCCTCCCATCAGCATGTCCCTTTAGGGTCTCGGTAGTTTTTACTGCATTTTTGATCAAATAAATGCAGACTTCTTATAAAAACATTACAAAATCTTACCATCCCCAAACTGCTGAACAATATTGTTTTTGACGCCCACTTACTACAGCATTTGGCTGTGAAATATGTTACATTAGGGAGTAAATGCTTTGCAAATAGCATTTCATGTTGACTTTAATCAGTGCTTGAAAAGTGTTATCTGTGATTAGTCACAACTTAAGAGAAACTAAGGATCATATGATGTTCTGCGTTCCCACTATTGTTTCCATTGTAATAATCTTTGTGCCTTTCCTTTGTGCTCCTTTGTTCATAGATAGATTCTGCAATTACTAAAAAGCCCTTCCCAGTGATTCTCACGTTGATTATGAACATCGCAAACCTTCTATTGGTCGGAAATGTTCCAGTGGTTTTAAGCAATGAAGCATGTCAGGGATGTTTTAGTCGTCTTACAGTCATCAAGTGTTTTCGGGTTTCGTTTGGACCCCACATGATGTTTGTAAATTGGGCGATGCAAAAGATGCAAACTCTTCATCTGCAGGGTTGTTCACATCGGCTCAGGTCACGTTGAGAATTATGAGCCTTTCGGGAAACTTATTGTAAAGCATAATGCCTTGTTTTATTTCTTTTTCGTGGCCGTCGATTGCTATAAAACGTTCAATTTAGATGTCAGGTATGCTCATTGTTTCGATGAGTGCCTTTGTGCTGTATTTCATCGGATAAGTGTTACATATACATACACTGCGGATTAAATGCTAATTACAGTAAAGCTGTAGTTTTAATACAGATTTCAAAGGCACTTTGCAATGTACGCAATCAGTGTTGAGTTATCGTTAAACCAGTATGCTATCTTGAGGTCATTTTGGGTGAAATAGATTTAAGCTCTCGCGTTACACATCCAATGCACACCTCGGTGATGTAAAAACATATGTGTTGTATTTAAAGATAGAAACATTTATAAAATAGACATAGGCAGGTATCTAAATGTCATTAGCAACTTCAGTGCATAGCTTGCTTAGACTTACAGGTATGATTCGAAACATTTTATTGGTTATATTACATGGTTCGCTGTCATTTTATGGTTTATTTTGCCTTAAAAAAATTAAACTATTTTACAATCGAGCCCACGTCGTTGTGACAAACATACAGTTACTACTTCCATTGTAGAGTAACTTCACTTTATTTCTCCCTCATTAGCTACACTGTAATTTAGATTTCATTCACTGTATTAAAGGTTTAGAAATTACTTTTTGTTCAAGTTTTTTTTTCCCCTCAAAAAAAAATATGTGGCCTAGCCCTTTGTAACACTTTAACTAGAACGTGTGTGTTTTTTTCACTGATGGCGCATACTGTATTGTGTAAGGATACAACCAACATGTGTGTCAGTAACATGACAATCACCCGACTGGAATTCAGATCAACAGCATTCCATCTGAAAACTATTTCTTACAAGTATTTATCAGTATGTTATCCAGTGTGAATCTATTTGAATTGACTATTTTATTGATATTGTCATTTCAATTCTTGTTGTTATTATAATTATTCTATTGTTAAAGGACATTATGCTCCTGTATGTTGACTGTAAACCAAAGTAAAAAAAAAATCATTTTGATACAGATATGTTTTGTGATGTATTTATTTGTGTTAAATGATGCTTATACACAGTATATATCAACTTAAATACGGGGTTATACATTCCTAGAAATATCAGAATATTTTAAAATAGTGTTTTCGAGGCCTTGAATTAATAGAAGGAATTCTATGCAAATGCAATCTCTATAAAACGAGTTTTAAAAGTCCTTATCCAGTAATCACAAACAGACAGACACACACACACATATATAACTTTATTTTTCAATTTAATTATTAACAATAATAATTTACTTATAATTAAAACTAGTGCTGTCAAACGATTAATCGCGATTAATCGCATCCAAAATAAAAGTTTTGTTTACATATATATATATATATATATTATGTATACTGTGTATCTTTATTATGTAAATTAATTATAAAAGTTCATATTTATGTAAGTAAAACATGATGTACAAAAAATAAAACAATTAGTATATAATTTTCTTAAAATTAAATTAATAATAATTCACTTATAAATAACGGTAATCACAAACAGCTGGAAAAGACATGTAAATTAATTAATTAGTGAAAGAGTTCATATTTATATAAATATTAAATTAATATTTAGTTTTATACAATAATATAATTGGTATGTCACATTTTAAATGTACTTATTAATCTAACATAAATAATTTGTGTATTTACAAATAAAATATGATATAATTCATATATAATTTAAAATGAACTCTACATCAATAATGTTTATAAAAATAGGCTATAATGTAAGAAAATAGAATAGAATAACTTCAGGTTCGGGGTGTGCTCGGTATTTTCCCCATTGTAGACTGTAGGGGGAGCTGAAGGGTTTGCATGTGATTTTAGGTTGAGTCTGCGCCGCATCCACCCTGAGCATCTTCATCATCTTCATCTTCATCTTCATCACACTCGCATCTGGAGGAGGAGGAGGAGGAGGCGGAGCGCATCCTTAAGGAGCGCGCAGACACAGAAGAAAACATCCACAGCTCGGCCACCCATTCAGCTGGAGGATCGGCCTGAAGAAATTCATGGAAATAAAATAGAAATTCATTCCCTTTGCTTTTTATTTTTTGTTTTCTGATCACAGCCAAGCCATTGGACTTCAAAATGGCTGAGATGACTAATTTAAAACCAACCTATGGTGAGTGAATCTCGATCTATATTTACGTAATGATCCGGGCTTTAACATAGAAACACCAGCTTAAATGATTCCTCACCTGTTTATTCGGTTCTTAATTCATCTCGGAATCAGTTTTTAGGTTAATGGGATTATTTCTCACTAAATATTCGGAGCAATACTTTCTGTTCATTATTTACAGTATATAGCCTAGGCCATTTTATATCGGTTTATATTATATTGTATTATAGTGAATGAGGGCAGGAAATAACTGATTATAAAATAGGCAAATCTAAAATCATCAAAAAATTATATTCCCCAATGAAGTGTAACGCGTAAAGTGCAGCTCCGGAAATACGCACATGAAGCCTACACGATTCACCTGACAGACGCATGAAGTGTGTTTATGTACACACATGCTGTGTCATATGATGATTGATGTCATTTAAAAAGAAATGTATTTTCTATAGAAAAGACGCGTTTAGATCAGCTGAACTCTCGCGTCGCTGTGGCACTGCGTGCATGATGTCGTGTCTGAGGAGAGCGCGAGCATCAGCTGGAGCTGCTTTATTCACTTTATTCCTGACTGGCACATATCATGCCTCATAACGATATTCACAATGCCATATAATCTGTACTGTGATTATTCCTATATCTTTTCACAAATAATTGCAACCACAGTCAAATTACAGTTATACATCACTGGCCTATTCCACAGTAAACAGTAGCCTACAACGAACACATGTTGCGATCAGATATTATTATTTATCTACTATGTATCATATGTGACCCTGGACCACAAAACCAGTTATAAAGGTCAATTTTTTAAATTGAGATTTATACATCTTCTGAAAGCGGAATAAATGAGCTTTCCATGGATGTGTGGTTTGTTTGAGATACAACTATTTGAAGATCTAGAATCTGAGTGTGCAAAAAATCTAAATATTGAGAAAATCGCCTTTAAATTGTCTAAATGAAGTCCTTAGCTATGCATATTACTAATCAAAAATTACGTTTTGATATATTTACGGAAGGAAATTTACAAAATATCATCATGAAACATGATCTTTACATAATATCCTAATGATATTTTGTCATAAGAGAAAAATTGATAATTTTAACCCATACAATGTATCGTTGGCTATTGCTACAAATATACTTGTGTTAATTATGACTGGTTTTGTTGTCCAGGGTCACATTTATTGCTATATAAGTAGCCTGTTATATGCTAATATATTATGATAGGCTTTGTTATAAGACATTATAAAATGGAATATCTGTATAATACACCTTTATATGACCATGTTTTATTTCTCATCAATCTTTTATTATTGGGCCCTTTTTATACCACAGAACATAGATGATTTTAACAGGATTAAACGGTTATGATATGATATGTCAAAAACACCCCTCAAGTTTAAAAAGCAAAATATTGAATGGAAAAATGAATAGCAAAATATCTATTTTAATTAACCATTACTGTTGCCTGAGTTGCCTACTGACTATAATACAATATAGGCTAATATAAGAATTATATGAAAATATACTGTAGCCTAATGGACTGCCCAGAAAACATGGCTGAGAATATTCAGTAAAAAATAAAACATGATTTTATTTATCATAACCATCATCATCTGCCAGATTGATTAGCCGTTTTGTGCGAGTTTTTATGGGGTTATGTCATGCGCTGGAGGAGCTGGAGAGTTGTGACGTGTTTCCTGGTGGATGCGTGTGATGTAGTTTGGGTCAGGTATTTTAGGAACATGTCTGAGGCATCTTGGATCACAGCTCAGCGCGTGGGAGTTGCCTGGAGACAGAATCAGCAGCAAGATGTGCGCTCGAGAGGAAAATAACCAGAAACAGTCCAGCCAGATAAACAGAGATTTAGGATTTCTGAAGCCATGAAGGAAATAAAACCCTTTACTCCTTCAGTTTTACAGCTTTTCAGTGATTTGTCTGCCCGCTCTTAAAGCAAAAATGCTGTTTTATGTGACGAAACAATAGAAAATCAGGACATGTTGGGTGTATGTGCATGTACAGTTATGTGAAGTGGGGTTTTGGACAATGAGATTTGACTGTGGGCGGAGCTATCCTCATAGATTTTGTTACCATTGCCATGCATTATACGACTGATAGACTGCAACGGCTGGACTTAAAAATCTACGTTTGTGTTCTACTGAAGAAACAAAGTCACCTACATCTTGGATGCCCTGGGGGTAAGCAGATAAACATCAAATTTTCATTTTTGGGTGAACTATCCCTTTAAGCTAACTTTCATGACTGTTTCTTAACACACTTAAGTACACTTTTAAAAAGCGCACGTTGTAGTAATGTCAGATTATCAAAATAAAAGTTTTACTTTAAGGTACATTCTAAAGCATTATGTTTTAATAATCCTTTGTTGTGCTTTAAAGAAGTACACTTATTTCAATGTCGACTAATATACTAAAGCACATGTGAAGTACTTGATTGTGATTTTAACTGTCGTGTGTTATTCAAAATTATATATAAAGTTAATATATTTTAAATGTACTAAATTGCAACTTTATCATTAAAAATGTGTAATTAAAATACATGTAAATATATGTATACATACAAGTTTCAACGTTTATTTTACTTTTTTATTATTATTTTACCATAAATACTCATCAGTACATTCAGCAGTACACTTCAAAGTAATTATGAATTTACATATAAAGATGTAATTAAGACATACTTAAGTGGGTCAAAAAGCAGATAATTGCATTTAATATAAATGTAAACTATAATACTTTTTCATTTAATCAAAGTGTTGAAAACATTATACTCAGTTCACACTTAAGTATATTATTTCCATAAGTACTCTTTTTAAAAGTATGCTATAGTATACTTTTTTCACAAGGCTAGGACTGATATTCCGATTAGCAGGAAGAGCATTTATCAATAATAACTTTATTGCATCATGCCTGGTTATGACACTTCATACGTGTTTACTAGAATGCTGATGTATGACATAAAACAAGTTTGTATGCCGCTGTATCTTAACCAGGCAGATACGAAGTGACAAGCGATGACAGATACTGACGCCACAAACTACCAGACATGTGGTCAGTAGCTTGTTTACACTGTATTGCCACAACCACACTGAAATATCATTGGTCCAAAATCCCACTTCCACATAACTGTACATTACTCAGCTATTGCATTCTGAGTTTGTAGCATTTTTAGCTTTCAGTGTGAACAGACAACTCACACCTGGTTAAGGGTGGAAATGATTGAAAATGCCCAACCAAGAACCTGGTTTCTGAATTGTATCAACTGTATCAATATTAATCAAATGTCATGTCCTCTCAGATAATAACAGTGCCTTCATTGATTGAGCAGAGAATCGATTGACTTTGCAGGACATCATTTTCATGAGTAAATAGGATCAAGTAAATGCTTTCAGGACGGAAGGTGACCAGGTCATGTCTCAAACGTCAATAGCAGCTCTCTTTTGCTTGTTTAATGGGCATTCACTGTCTGATTGGGATTATTAATGATGGCAGCAAACGCAGATAGAGTGACGTCATATTTCTTGAATGAGTCTGATTAAAAACTGCCTTACTTTATTGATAACATTCAGAAATTATTAGCTTAGAATTTCATTATACACTATAACCTGCACAGTAAAAAAACAAAACAAACATTGGTTGAACCTGTAAATAAAACAATAATTATCAGAGTATTTTTACAAGAAAATAGTTCATGTTTAAGTCAATGTGTTAAGCCGAAGAAATTTGGTTTACAAACAATTTTCACTCAGAAATTGCTAGTAATTTCACAAACAATAACATTTACAGTCAAAAAACTGAAATATTATTTTCTTGTAAAACTTACTCCAATAATGTTATATATATATATATATAATAAATAAAACAAAAAACATTGTTACACAAATAAAACTAAGCAATAGCAATTAATTCCTTATAAGTATTAGTATTTATATGTTTTTAGGTTGATTCTGTGATGTTAAATAGCATTTCTGCCTTAAATTTAATTATTAAATATATTATAAAATATTTAAGAATTATTCAACTATTAAGTTATATAAATAATAATTTACATATGAAGCACATTTGTAGGTTAACATTTTTAGATGGAAGTTTCAGCTGAATGTCTTATGTGACAGATTTAGTCTGTGCGTGTGATGGAAAGCTTAGGTGTTGTCCATTTTATTATTTTATTTTATTTTACTTTATTTTTATTTTATTTTATTTTATTTTTTGGACTGTTCGATGGGTATTAAAACTGATCCTTTCCCAACTCTTTTTACTGCAGAGTAATAAATAATTAATAATTCAATTCAAGAGTTGTTTTTGAAGACAGAGAGGCTTTGAAGTGAAGTTCTAGCCTTGACTATATTTGATCTCAGCTTATCGCAGATATCTGCAAAGTGTATATGTCTTGTCCTCTCTCTCTCAAGTGTGTGTGTAGCTGCAGTGATTGAACAATGGCTTGATTTATGCGTGTGACTGGTGGCAGAGTGACACGTCTTCTCTGTCCCCGCTGAAATCCAGCACACAGTGTCTCTCCACAACACGACTGCAGCTGATCCTCATTCTCACCCTGCTGGTGCTGTCATATTACCACTGACAGCAGATATGGAGAGGGAACCGTCCTGACATGGCAGCTAACTAAACCTCTTTGTGATCCTGCTGAACAGAGAGCAAAACTGCGGGTGGCGTATGAACGAAAACAAAAGAACGAGCGAAAGCTGAGAGTCTAGCAGTGCTGAGCATCATTGTTCACACCTGTCCGCTCCGCCACCAGCACATGCTCTTTTCTTAACCTCATCATTTCCCCATTCTGCTTTCTCTTCATTTCTACTCATCAGGAACTCCACCCTGCCGTCCAGCTCAGCCGTGACTACAGACAATGCCATCATTTCTCATTTGTGGGCCATTTTGTTCAGCTTATTAATCATGTGCGCCCACACGCGTACACACTCGTTGGGCTCACGCTTGTGCGTCTGGAGCACATTATGGAGGGTGTCATAATCAGAG